TTTTTTGTGGGCCCCCCCCCCGGTCCAGTGGGGTTCTCCCGGGGGCCGAGCCGCGCGGGGCCGCGGGCTGGCTCCATTGGCTGCTCCGGCGCAGGGCTCCGCGCACAGCCAATGGCCGGGCGCCCGCTCCATGGTATCTCCCTTCCCGCAGGGCTATTTCCAGCTTGCAAACACTGGGGTCAGGGCACGCCGCGACCTTTGCGCTTCCCTATTGGCGAACGTGGCTCACGTTCATTACCTGCACCGCGGGGCCAGGCCAGGGCGGGTCCCTTCTGGACCCGGCACACGCAGGGGAAAACGCTCCTTCCCCAGGGGGTCCCGCGGTGCTGCCGGCTGCTCCTGCGGCTCAGCCAGCCCCCGCTGCCTGCACCCCGCCTGTCTGGGCTGCTGGGGGTCTGCCGGGCGGCTGCGGGTGCTGGACCCGGGGAATCGCCGGGCCAGCTCTGTGCAAGCAGCCGCGTTTCTCATGAATCTCAGCACAAAGCGAAGGGGAAGCGCGGGTGTCCCGGTGCGGGTTGCAGCTGCGCCCGGGCCAGGCGCTCCTCACACGGCTCGTCCCCGCGCTGCGGGCAGGCGGGGGCCGGGGAGGAGCGGGAAGGGATGCGCCGCCAGGGAGGGGTCGCCTGGGGCTCCGCCGCGTCCTGAGAGCGCTGCCCTTTGTCACCGCAGACCTATGCGACCACGCGCTCCACATCCCGCACGACGAGCTGTGACGCGGACGGCCCTGGCTGCCTCCGGAGGACGGTGCCCACCCGCCCCGGCGGCCTCGCGGGACCAGGACGGCGCCAGGCTCCATCCGGACGTCCCCTACCTCTTGGTTCACCTCGTCCCCGCTGCCCCCGCCGGGACGGGCAGACGTACCAGGGAAGACGGCGGCTCTGGAGCCGGCGCAGACGCCGCCTCGCCCAGCCGGGTGCTCTTGTCCTATTTATTCACTGTCCGTCCGCTGCAGCCGCGGTGCCGGGGGCACCGGGACCCCAGCCTTGCTTCCGCACAGGGCAGCGTCCTCGCCCCAGCCGGGACGTTTCAGCGGGCAGGCTGCCAGCCAGGGACCTTCCCGCGCCGCTGCCAGGGGACGCGGCGGGGGACACCGGGGCTCAGCCACCCCCGCCGGGGCGGGGTGGTCGGGTGTCCGGGGCCGCTTTGGGACCCCCCCTCCCTGCTGCAGGCAATAAAGGGGCTGCGCGGCGGCCGTGCCGCGGGCCCACCCGAGGGCAGCTCCGGCTCCTGTGGGGGGGGAAGGGGGCCCGGGACCCCAGGCGGGGCTGGGGACGGCGGTGGCCTCCCCGCGCTTCCCCCGGACACTCGAGCTCCCTCG